ATCCTTTATTTTCTACACAGAGGAGAAGCATCTGGTGGAGATTAGGGGGTGCAAAGAATAGAGTGGAACAGGAAACCACGGGGAGGAAAAGACATGAGAATGGTGATAATGTGCTTTGGGAAAAAGCTAGAAGTTGGAAGTCACTCCACTGCTCTGCAGGGCTGGTGTGCCTGCATAAAGAAAAGCAGACCCTGTTTTTGGAGTTTGTGTTGTCCCTGATGGAAACGGTGTAAGCAGCTGCTGTTTCTGCTTGCTGGGCAACTGTTAGGTGGCACAACCACAGCCGGAAGCACCCCTCTGCCCTCTTGGCAAGGCAGAAGCCTCATATCCAACATCCTGGAGGAGGGCACGCGGTCCCCCCCGGCTGGCCTTTAAGCTAGCAGGATATGGGGGTAGCGGACATTGCCCAGGGGACGGAGAAGAATGGGGGAGGAAGAGAAAGGAGTCTGGAGGCATTTGGCCTCCCTGGGAGCTTTGCCCAGATCCTCTGGCCTCAGTCCAGAGCTTCCATTAAGTGGAGGGATCCTATAAATAGCTGCCACCCTTTCCTCTCCCCATCTTCTCCGAAGAGGCAGGCACTGCATCGCTCTCTTCAAGGTGTGGTGTGTATTCAACCTCCCTTCCCTCCTGCCCCCAAACCCTCTCCATCCACTTATCCTCACCTCTTTTGCCTCCCGCCACAGTACAGTCTGCAAGCCTCTCTCGCCCAAGACGAAGGAGCCCGCCCCTCCACCCTTCTCCTCCTCCAGCGGGGTGCTCGGAGCTGGGCTTTGCGAACTGGACCGGCTTCTCCAAGAACTCAACGCAACCCAGTTCAACATCACCGGTAGGTGTGGGTGAGGGTGGGTGGGTGGGTGTGGGTGCGTAGAGGGGGCGTAGTGCTTTGGATGGCTTTTCACATGCAGAAATGCCAGGCCTTGGAGTAGTTATTTTGTGATGTACACCTACCTACATTTCTCCTGGCACTTAGAATTCGCTAACATAGACGGCTTTAGAGAAAAAAAAATCGCTCCGGTTGTGGGCCACTAACTTTGAAATAGAACTTCCATGGACGGAGGCATTTTACCTCAGAGAATTAGATATCGCAAGCCAACGTCAGGGGGGCACTTTTTGGTCAATCTCCGGCCGACCTCCTCGGAAGCCTCTTTTCTCTTATCGTCCTTTGCATGATCAGAAGTGGGCATCAAACTGGACTCTGCAGCATCACACCAAGCAAGAATGCCTATTGTTTTTGGCGCGGGGTGATGCGTGAACCCAACCATTATCATTTGTTAACCGTGATTTATGGCTCGGCGTATTGTGTGAACCCAGCCAACCCAGCGGTGGTTTTTTCAGTAAACCATCGCTAAACTAATCATGACTTTGAGTGCCAATGTTTGCTGTTGTCCAGAAAAGTGATTCTAAAAGGATGAAATCATACATTACATCTCTTTTCTTGCCTAGACTGGTGTCCTCTGGGTGTGCTGGGCTACAACCCTCCTAAGTTTTATCCAGCCTAGGAACAAAATGGGCCATGAGTTATAGGAGACGTAGTCCAATACATCTGGAGAACATCTGGTTTGCAGTGGGGGGGATAAGCATCCTCTTCTCCCACGGCTGCTTCAGATCCTGAAACTGAAGCTGGACTAGCTGTGACCCAATAGGAATTCAGAATAAGATGCTCTCCTTGTTCTTTAGGTTATTATTCTGGTTTGGCACCCCTTCTCTCCCCATTAGTTCTTAATTTAGCCATTGCAGGTAGTCCTCGACATAACGACCACAATTGAGCCCCAAATTTCTGTTAAGTGAGACATTTGTTAAGTGAGTTTTGCCCCATTTTTACGACTTTTCTTGTAACCGCTGTTAAGTGAATCACTGCAATTGTTAAGTTGGTAACCTGGATGTTAAGTGAATCTGGCTTCCCCATTGACTTTGCTTGTCAGAAGGTCGCGAAAGGGGATCGATCACATGACCCCCGGGACACAGCAATGGTCATGAACCAGTTGCCAAGCGTTTGAATTTTGATTTGGTTGTAAGTTAAATTTTTCAGTGCCGTCGTAACTTTGAACGGTCACTAAATGAACTGTTATAAGTCGAGGACTGCCTGTAGTTCTTAATTTACACGTTATATGTATGCTCTGCCTTTTCTTTGATGCTCAACTTGGTGGGAGTGTGATGTCACCTTCTTTTATTGTTATCACAACAATCCTGTGGGTTAGGTCAGGCTGAGAGAACCGGATCCAAAGACGTTCGATAAGCTCTGTGGTCAAATGAGAACTGAAATGGGGTCTTTTCAGTACCAGATAAATCAGTACCAGATTTATCAGTACCAGATAAATGAATCTGGGTAGTCCTCAAACTGCCACAAATACAAGTGTTGGCTTGAGTGAAACGGCTGTCAAAACTGGCTCCAGGCTTTGATCTTTGCTGTGGTGTCTGTCGTGTTTATTTGGTGCTGGCTGGGGAATTCTGGGAGTTGAAGTCCATAGGTTTTACAGTTGCCAAGTTACTGTTGTAAATCGTTCTGGGCTGACATAAAGTAGAAGCACCCAAGGCTGCTTCATGTCCCAGTCCAAGTCTGTAATTTCCAAAACCGGCCTAAGGCTGCCTCTCTCAGCCGGCAGCCGCCCTCCCCGCTGCATCTCCAGGGGCACTTCCCGTTTGCCGGCAGATTTGCCCCACCCGCTGCAGATATGTCCCCCCGAGGCTTGACCTTTCCTTGCAATGGAGCATTTTATTCCTTCCTCCATCGGCTTCCTATGGTTTGTACTTTCCGAAATGAGGTAGGTTTGAATTGAGAACGGAAGTTCCTTCTCTGCCCTGGGTGAAGTTGCCAGATATCAGCGCAGCAGGAGGAAGTTGCTTCTTCCTTTGAATGCATTCTGCCCAATTTTCCAAGTTTTTTTTTAAAATCATGTACTTCCTGTGTGTGTGTGTGTGTGTGTGTGTGTGTGTGTGTGTGTTCTCCAGATGTTCTGTCATGCCTAGAAGTATGGCAGTGCTGTCCTCTGATGGCTGGGGTGTGTAACAGCACATGAATCAAAGATTTCCCCTTTCCTTTCCTTTCCTTTCCTTTCCTTTCCTTTCCTTTCCTTTCCTTTCCTTTCCTTTCCTTTCTCCTCTTTCCTTTCCTTTCCTTTCCTCTCCTCCCTTCTCCTCTCCTCTCCTTTCCTTTCCTCTCCTCTCCTCTCTCCTCTCTCCTTTCCTTTCCTCTCCTCTCCTCTCCTTTCCTTTCCTTTCCTTTCCTTTCCTCTCCTCTCCTCTCCTTTCCTTTCCTCTCCTCTCCTCTCCTCTCTCCTCTCTCCTTTCCTTTCCTTTCCTCTCCTCTCCTCTCCTCTCCTTTCCTTTCCTTTCCTTTCCTCTCTCCTTTCCTCTCTCCTTTCCTCTCCTTTCCTCTCCTGTCCTCTCCTCT